GGACCCTAAGCCCTCCATGAAGCGATCTGTCCATACTCTCGCTATACAGGTACTCTAGTGTTTGCATCTTGAGGATTTGTACCCACCTATGTCATCAATGTAAACAAGACGCTCGTTGAGGGTTATGTTGACGCTGTAAAAACGGACCATAATGTCCGATTTTTTTACTTAAATCAGCTCTTTATTTAATTTCAAGCACTTTTTATAGAATGACTTTTTCCCTTAAATTACACCATTTCCAAGAAAATCGACAGGATAAAAACGTCGCTGTACCCAATGACGTCATCAAAGCTATAGATACTCTATGAAAAATTCCAAGATGCCCGAAATGCAAACACCTCCTTTTTTTTCTCTATGGGCCGGGGGGGCCGACTCAACCTCGGATTGCACGGCAAAACCCGTACCCTCCTGACTAGAGTACCTATATTGAGAGAGTATGGCCACTGGGCCCCATGGAGAGGCTTAGGACCCAAAAATGGCGGTGCTTTGTTTTGGTTTTTGTGGATGGGAGGGGGGTCATTGCCAACTTTTGACGGTTATCACCAGCCGCACTTGCTGCCAACCTTACTACATCTACGATAATTTTTCTCAAAAATTGCACACGATTAGCCTTAAAAATATGTAAAGTTGTCGCAATAGTGCATATGAGTAAATTTCTCGTTATGATAAGCAAAGAAAACTACATTTTGAGTAATTTTGCATTACATTAATTTATGGCGTCCGCCATTTTTGGGTCCTAAGGGCTCCATTTAGCCTAAGATGGCTGAGCCAATCAGAGGTGGTAACCCCAGTGGCCATACTCTCTCAATATAGGTACTCTACTCCTGACGTCACAGCGCTTCAAGATGGCAGCCAAAATCGAAATGCGACCACCATTCTTTATCCGCCTTGAGTTCAGAGAGTATAGAAGGTAACCTTCTACGATGTTTACTTTTTGCAGGCAAAGACCCCCTCGGAATGAGCAGGCAAGATGGCTGCGTGGTGCGACGGGAACTCAGAGCAGTTCGAGCACTATCTAACCAATACCTACTCTAACCCATCCTATCGTCTGCCGTCTCCCCACCTTATCTATCCAAATAATAATCATGTTTCCAATAATGTAAAATGAATCAGTGAGTTCGGAAACACTCCAACACGGGTTTTTTTCGATTTTCACTTTTTTACGGTTTTGTTACACTTCTGGATAAGTAGAAGCATCTGCACGCAAAAGGATATTTCGAAATTGCAATCGGAAGTGCTCGAAACGGCGACGGGAAAAGGGAAGAATCGAAGAATTTCATGGGAAATACCAATTTTTGGCCGATCAAGGGAAACGGGTGACTATCCGATGCGGTTTTCTTTTTTTCGGTTCAGTATACCTTGTGCCAACAAGTTATACAAATATTCAAGCGTTATTCAGGTCAAAAAATATAAATTTTTCAGGGCAGACTATGAAAAATCAGTATCTGAAACTTGGTGCGTTAAAGTCTCTAGAGTACTTCTTGCGTCCTTTGGCACCAAAAAAGTTTTTCTTAAACTAACTTCTTCGCCCGCTGCGAAGTTTTAGGTGTTTCCTGAAAATTTTTTTTCCGAGTTGTTGTATTTTCGAACTCACTGATTCAAATGTCATCTTAGGTACCTAATGCTATATTTATGCTCTCATATTTCACCCCTTGATGCCTGACTGGTAAAATTCACCACTTTTTGGATCGTTATGTACTTTTGTAGGTATGAGTTATCAAAAGCAGAAATGTGCAAAGATATTTTTTTAGCAAATTTTTCAAGAAATATGCTAAGTGCCTCGTTACCTTAACAGGATGTTTCCCAGAAGTTGTACCATTGTGCCACAAAAAAAAATTTATAAATTTGTGCGAATGCTGAATTAAATTTTTAGCTTGATGGTTCATCTTCACATGGAAATATTTTTGGTAGAATTACAAATTCCACAATGAAAGTCTAGCAACACAGCTAACTTAGCAAAAGCCCTCATATTTCTTGAAGTCAGGAGAGGGTAATATTTCTCCCCCCCCCTCCTAACTAGTTCCCCCAATGCTCCTGAAAACATCTCTGCTGAGCGCAAAAATCCTCAAACTCATCCCTCATCATCTGGCATCCCCATGGCTCAGATATAAATGAAGCCCCTCCCCCCCTTATTTTCCATCAAAATTCAAAATGTAAGTAGGTACGTTTAGAATTTGATTTCAATGCCTCAGAACGCTGCGGGGCCCCCACACAAGCTTGTGATTTCTCCAGATATGCTAAAGATTTTCCCTCCTTAGGTAATCCTTAAATTATATCAGAAAAATGTCTTGCCAAAGAATTTTGAGAATTACCCTGGTTAGTACTTGGTTTGAACTCTTTTAGAAATTTAATCCCGATCAAAAAGGTCAATTCCCTGAGCTGAGCAGTTTAATTTTTCTCCGAGAGTGAAATTTGTGCTTGGCGCCATTATGTGATGTGCAAAGAGTAGAGGAGAGGAGAGAGCAACAGAGTATAATCATGGAGTCCGAGCGAGCTTCATGCACGCTCCACCAGCTACTCCCGCTCTGTGATCGCCTGCTCATTCGTAGGGGGTCTTTGCCTGCAAAAACGCTCAATCAACCTTCTACACTCTCTGTATTCAAGAGTAAGAGCACAGAATATATAGGCTTCATTGGTGAAGCCTATATATTCTGTGGTAAGAGTCTCAATTCTCAATTGCTCGGTGATTTTGCATGTCCGTGAGGACTTTCTTTCTCGCTTTCTGAAATCGTGAAATGACTTTCAGTACTGTTGTGCTTCAGGACTTAATGTGGATAGTATGTCAACACGTGTCACTTCTCCGTGAATATCATTTTCACCTCAGTGGTATCATCGTTTCTAAACTTCTTGAACTTTTCTCAATCGGATTGCATTCTCCTGTCGTGGGTCTGGTTTATCATCAGATCCATTCTGTTTGCAGGTACTTGGTCATCACCATATAAAATAGAATTTTTAAAATTAAGGGTCCACATATTTTATCATGCTTTGTTGTGGTTCTGCAGGCAATGTTGATGATAATGGTACCACCAATAAGAGACGTATTTTGTTTGCCGCAACAATTGTTTCCTGCTACCGATTTTGTGTTATTTGCGTCACTTTTTCACAACCAATGAGAGCAAAGCAGCTAGAAGTGAGGTTAGAAACCTCGTAACAATCAGAGACAAGAGACCCTCCACTGGCCTCCTAGCGACAGGTGGAAGCTTTTACTTTCGGGGTTTCAACAATTCCTTATGGACAATTATTAGGGAGCAACAGTCATCACCCTAGTTTCGGCTGTTGACTTACCTACATGGTCGATGATGAGCTTCGGATGACGTCATGAGCCAAACAACTTTCCCAAACGTCGGCCATTTTCGGCTTGTTTGCAAAACGAAACTGCCAACACGTTGTTGAACATCAACCATGGAGGTAAGTCAACAGTAGAATGCTGAAGTCCCGAAAGTAAAAGCTTCCACCATGGCCAAGATACTAGTGGAGGGTCTCTTGTCTCTGGTAACAATTCTGCAACCTGCTCCGGAGCACGTTCCAAGTGTTTCGCATCTAAATGTTACGACAGCGTTGCCATGTTGTGCAAAAAAAAATCCAATTAAATTAGCCACGCCCCCTCATTTCCGGTAACACTCAAACAAAATACGAATGTTACACACTGATGCGAAACAGTTTCGATTGTTACGCCAAACAAAATACGTCTAAGGGCTCTCCAAAAGTTTTGCTCTTCCACATGAAACATAGGAAAAGAATCACCAGGTCTGCAGCACCCATATTTATGCCGCAACAATGGTGGCTCTTGAAATTTCTGGAGCTACTCTTTCCTCAGGGGTGTCTAGTCGGCGACCAGTCAGGTGTTGGTCCGGCAAATAGTTGTAATGGTGAGACAGGTCATGATGATCGCTATTGGACCATATTGGAGCTCACTGGAGTTTATCTTAGCTCAGTGGAACTCAATGGTCATAAGTCGTATTTTGTTTGGAGGCAACACTCGCAACATGTTGTAAAAACGAGCAACAATCGCATTTTGTTCAAAGTTGTTTTCTGTTATGGGGGCGGGGCTTATTTTCGTGCGCAAAATTTAGGAACCCCTACAGCAACATTGTTGCACAACAACTGCAACGTGCTCAGAGCAGGTCGCTTTTATGTTGGTCAAGAGAGCAACGCTGATTTCTAACCTAAAATTGGAGGTTGCTCTCCCATTGGTTGCTCAGAATCGCGTAAAAAGAAACAAGAAAAAAACAGAAACATTTTGTTGTTTCGAACAAAACACGACTGAACTAGCAATGGAGTGGCAGCTCTGGAACTGGGGAGAGAAAAGTACTTAGAGATGAATTTCCATGGACTTTGACGCACTAGACCTGATGCGTGGTGTGGTCTCCGACTCTACAGAAGTGACTTTTGGTGTGCCGCAAGGTTCTCACCTTGGGCCGATTTTGTTTTTGATTTTTATTAATGATTTGGCATCAGGCTTGAATTTTTTTAATGCTTCGCTATATGCTGATGACTTTAAAGTATGTGGAATTGTCAACTTTACTTTAAAGTCATCAGCATATATAGCGAAGCATTAAAAAAATTCAAGCCTGATGCCAAATCATTAATAAAAATCAAAAACAAAATCGGCCCAAGGTGAGAACCCTGCGGCACACCAAAAGTCACTTCTGTAGAGTCGGAGACCACACCACGCAACCTAACTTGCTGAGAACGCCCCTCTAAATACGAATAAACCCAGGTGACAAAATGCTCATTAAGGCCAATATCAAGTATTTTTTTAATTAAGTGATGATGACTTACTGAATCAAAAGCTTTAGGAAAATCTGTGTACAAAACATCCACTTGAAGAGAGTGATCAAGAGCCTCCGTGATAAAATCGCTTTATTTCAGCAAATTAGATACCACAGACAGGGCCAGATTTACCTATGGTGCATCGGTGCAGCTGCACAGGGCGCCAAATTTTGGGTTTTTTTTCCCCAAACTCTACAAAACGTTGAGAATTGCGTCGAAAGTTCAGAAACTCTGATTGTTGATTGATTGTTTAAAGGCAATGGAGACACAGACAACAACGGCGAAACAACATTAACAATGTAAATATTGCATGTTATTACTCCATATGTGCCTGTGCATGCATATGAAATGCCTACTTTTGTCCCACCGGAATTTTCCTCTGCAAAATTACATCAGAGAGCCATTAATTTATTGTGTTCCATCTTTTAAATGACCTGACCCTAGACTTCCGGGTCAAACTTTCTCTTAGTTTCGTATTTAACAGTAACATGAACAGGTACCTGGTTTCGGTTTCTGCCCCAGAATCATTCACTCACTCGAAAAATTCGTATTTAGTTAGAGTTACCACGTAGTAACCAAAGAAGACCGTCGGGTTGGGAAATGCGCGGGCGGGGGCCGCCTCGAAAATTTCTGCACAGGGCGCCAAAAACGTAAATCCGGCCCTGACCACAGACCTTACTCCTACGAAGCCATGCTGTTGACTGCAGATTTTATCAGCAACACAAGATTATAACTCGTGTGCCACTCTCGAATCAAAGATTTTAGACTCAACACCTATCATGGAGATGGGACGATATGTCTTGACATCCCACAGGTCACCACTTTTAAAAACTGGAGTGACTAAGGCTGATTTCCAGAGCTTTGGATAAGTACCAGCACACAAAGAATGGTTGAAAAGAGTACACAGAGGTTTAACCATATTTCCTGCACAGCAAATGATAAAAAAGGGATGAATACCATCAGGACCTATAGATCCAGAGGGTTCAAGTCTACCAATTGCATTCTTGACATCCTCCTCACTGACTGCAAAATTATCAGGAATATCAGAACCAGGTGAAGAACCGTGTAAACCAGGCACACCATTACCTGCCTTGCAGACGGTCCCAAAATATTTAGTAAACAAATTAGTAGACGATAGAGGAGAGTCGGAGCAAGTATCATCAAGCCGGAGGAGAGAAGGGATGTAATCACTGGCTTTTAATTTGTTAACATAGGACCAGAAAGCTTTGATATTAGCCTTTATGTTCAACTCTAATCTGTTTAAATGAGAGAGATACAACTCTCTAGACGTTCTCAAACATAAAGCAGGCACCCTCTTAAACTGAATGTAGTCACTATCTTCTCCCGTGGCTTTCCAGATGTAGTGGATGAATCGTTTCTCATTGACCAATCGAATCAGCTCAACTGAGAACCAAGGTGGAAAGCGCGATTTCACAGAATTCTTAGAAATAGGAATATGGTCTGAAAAGAGACTATCTAAAAGATCATGAAGCTTACCAACATTTAAATCCAATCCCTCGTCCGAAAACAATTCATCCCAGTCTGTATTGCACAATAAGGAATTGATACCAGCATAATCACCTTTGAAAAAGTTCCTGTGTGGCCGCTTGGACATTGAATCACTATTTAGTCCAGTCATTCTAGCCAAAAAAAGGGCCTAACCTCGGACAAATTAGCACAAACTTCTCTTATGCTTTAAAGCGCTCCAAAACATGTCTGGAGCCCCCAAAAAAAAGTTTACCATTAGCCCCCCTCGGGAACACAGTCAAAATTGCTTATAACAAAATGGCGGCCGACTGAAATTACGTGTAAATTGATTGTTGACTTCGTCAGCGTTTCCCCAATTTTGCGTGATTCTAGTGCATCCAGTGAAAAAAATCATTCTTGTCATTTTTTTAGAGTATAAAATTCTGCTTACAAACATGTATAAGTTTCTTTAATTTTGACTTGTTGGTGCCGAGCTACGAGGTCAGACACCGAAAAAAAAGGCTAGAATTTTCTTGAAATTTCAAGTTTGGTTTGTAACTTTTAAGATACAGTTTTGGCAGAATTTTTTCTCTCAAAACTGTTGGCACCAATGGAAAGAGCGTGAAATTTTCTTTTCAAAACACATATTACATCAAAATTTTACTGAAGGTATAAGACCTTTATAGGGCCTTTATGGAATTGTGTCAAATTCGACATTTTTTACTTTTTGTAAATTTTGGCTTGAATTTCGATTAATGTGACCCTTTTTCACGTATATTCGACTATTTTTGAAATAAATTGTGTTATTAATTTAATAGTCATGGTACATAGTAAAGGGAGAAGCACCTTAGAGCAAGGATGGTCGACCGGGGGGGGGGGGGGGCATATCTTATCCGTTCACTGTTTGGACTATCGCAGCTAAAGATTCTAAGAAAAAAACGGCAAAACACCTATTTGTCGGCAGATTTTCATGAAATTTGGTGTACCCCGGTATGTTGATCTAGGAAATTCGAATTTGACAAATTCAAGATGGCGGAAAAAAGATGGCGGCAATAATTTGTTAGATACCTGTTTATCGACTGATTTGCATGAAACTTAGTATAACCCTGTATTTAGCCCTAGAGAATTTGAATTTGATGTCGAATTTAACCAGAATTAAAATCAAAGATGGTGGGAAGAAGGTGGTGGCTATAATTTTTTAAAATTAAAGATGGCGGGTACAATTTGAAAACTACCCATTTATCGGCAGATTTTCATGAAACTCGGTGTATCCTGGTATTTTGATCTGGTAAATTCGAATTTGACGTTACTTTCAGTCTGAATCAAATTCAAGATGGTGGAAAAAAGATGGCGGCCTTAATTTTTAAAATATCTGTTTATCGGCTAATTTTCATGACATTGAATATTACCTAGTATTTTGACCAAAGTTTGTCAGTTTCGGTTTAAAAATTTATAATATAAGGTAATAAGACAGGGTAAAAAAGTAATTGAGGGGCTCGGAGGACAAGGCGCCCAAGTGCAGGTTTCGAAAAATATGACACATTTTAGTGGTTCCAACTAATTCTAGGTTTGAAATAAAGTTGTGAAAAATTCACCGGAAGCATCCAATGCTTAAGCATCAAGATGTGAGTTTGAACTCTCTTCCTGCCATAAGGCTGTGTATAATAGTTAGCAACTTTAAACATGTTTTTCTCGAAATAGCACTTATGCGCCTCGTCCTCCAAGCTGTTTAATTGAGAGTATAAGTGTTAAAATGCAATTGTTTTAGTATCGTCGAATATTTAACTGACAAAGATTAAGAAATACAAAGCCGAGTAATGAAATAAAAGCTCTGCTAATTTTTTACTCGGTCTATTGAAAGCTAAATAATATTAAATAATGTGCGAAATGTCGCATATTCGGCTGACAAGATGCCGAGGGCAGTAAAATTTTAATGTTTTTATTATTTTCCTTCTTATTTACTTACAATTAGATACCCTCATTTCACACGAGCCTGCGGTACATCACGTAAAGCATAGGTGCATACCCCTCTTTCCTGTTGACAACCCCGCCTTCCACTGACATCTGTACTTTCGTTATAATCCTTGTTCGCGCTTACGCTACAGTTGGCCGCCCAAAAGTTCCAAACCTTCAATGGTGTATTGATTTTATCATAATAATTATTAGTTTTACTATTAATTCCTCCGACGCAAAAACACCCGCTCCCCGAGCTGCCGCCATTACACAGCCCAATCCCTCACGTAAAGCGCTTCGCGGCGCGGCGGCTGTGCTCGCATCGTAATAACTTCCCTCATACGTGAGATGTCCCATTCCGCAATGTTTTTAAAAATTCTTGAATGTGCCGATTTCGCCAAGCTCTGTCCTATTCGTATATTTTTATGTGAGAGTATGCATAAATACGATGAAAATTGTCTTCACTTTGTATGCGTGGAGTATCCGTTAGTTCCGTACTGGCGGTCATATATCCATTAGCGCTCTTTGTAGAAAGCAGGGAGGAAGAGGTGGGTCAGTTTCCCCTCCTATTATTTATTTTATAATACGTTAATTCATTTTTGCTCTCCAAAAATGATTTAAATAACTTCTCACGATTGATGGAATGTTTGCTGTATTGATATGACCTTTTCAGGGATGGTGTTTTGCATAGAAACTCAATTTTCTGTAAATATTGCCATTTTTTACGATTTTAAATAAAGCCGTGTCAAACCCAAAAATGATGGAAATTTTTGGAACAAGGTACCCTCTCTTATTGTAAATTTTATGTACTTTTACGTGATCACAGTGGTTTTATGATCAAACACTTTTAAAATGCTTAAAAATTAGGATAATCGAGCTAAAAACGGTCTTTTTTCAGAAAAATGTCATTTTTGATCCCAGAAGAAATTATCCTACCGGCAAATATAATAACTTAAAGGGATGTTAAACACACTATTCTAGACCAAAATTTAACGTACTTTTCAGTTACATCATTTATTTTAACTTTAAAGCTCATTTTAAAGCGGTAAAATCTCAAAAATAACTAAAAAATTACATTTCATCATTTTTTTAAAAACTTTTTTTAAACCGAAATTCAGTGATAAGACCCCTCAAAAAGGTTTTACGGCAACTTTCAATTGTCCTATGTTATAGGAAATTTCATGAACTTTTCATCTCGCACCTTGTTTTCTTTCTTAAATTCCTTTTAACACGTGAAAAATAAGAAAAACAGCGGGAAAATTTTTTTCGGGTAAATTGCAATTTTTTTCAACATTGCCTCTGCATTTTCACGAGAGACGCCAAAAATACAAATAAAGGTACATTTCTTACATAAAATTTTACCAGCTTTTCGCTGATTACCATGGTTTGATGAATAAAATTGTTTGCAGCCATGGAAAACCACAAAAACCTGAGACAAATCCTTGTTGTTGAATAATTTGTAAATTTTTACCATCTCAAAAATTGGCTTCTAAGTACACTTAAATACCTTCAAAAATTTATTCATTGACATTTTTTCTCTTTCATATGCTAGTACATTGGTACCATAAAGTTTACTTCAAACAAAAATTACTAAACTTGAAAATTTTGGGTATATGTTAAGAAAAATGTTCGTAACCGAGCAGCTGGGTTTTCCAATAGACAACTTTAACGTCATATCTAACCCTCTTTAAAAAATTCGAAACAGTAATTTTAGGTATGCAATTTTTGGGAAATTTTATGCACTAAACGATTATTACCATCGTTGAATCGTATTCTCAGTTTTTAGCTGTGAAGAAGTCGAAAATTGTTGAAATTCTGAAATTTCTAGAGAAATCAGTTTTCAGCGTAGTTCCCTTATATACGCTTTTCAGGTACATTTTGTAAAATTTAAAGGAAAAACAGTGTGTTATTCGTCTTAAAAATTTTATCACCTTTCTAGAAAGTATATATAAGTTATACTTTTGTGGAAAAATAATTCATCGAAAGCGCTGGAAACGGAAAAAAAAAACTGAATTTGTTGTTAAATATTGACTTCATACTTTTGAATGATTCGTCTCACAATGAGGTCATGTAAGATGAAAAGGGAAAATAAATGGGTATTCTAATGTAAAATTTAGCGTATTTTTCAGTGGTGCCGTTGTTTTTAACCTTAAATTAATTATTTTGACCTAAAATTGGTCAAGAACGCGAAAAATCGTGAATTTTCAGCAGATTTTGCCGGTTGTTGTTTTTAAATATTAAAATTCGGAAAGAAAAAAATAAGAAAAGCCTAAGTTTTGTATATGATTCTTAATCAAAATTTTATGATCTTTCAAACTGATGTGTTGCAATTTTTTGTTTGACGCATTATTTTTGAGTTATAAAGGGAAATCCGTATGTACGTCCTCTTTGAAAATCGCCGTAAGCCGCCATTTTGAAAAACTGCGATTTGACCACTTTCCCGGTGGAATTTTTTGGTAAACTTTTTTTTCTGTCTTATTGGGTACCTAGAGAGACCCTATATACCAAAGGAAAAGTTTGTGCTAAATTTGTCCGAGGTAAAAAGCTAGAATGACTGGACTAATTAGTCCCCAAAGGAAAAATGAATCTCTAACACACATGATTACCATCACTTTTGAAAATAAGATCTTCATGAGAATCTGAAGCCACTACATGCTGAAAATTAGTAAAGAGCAAGTCTAAAGTATACGATTTAGCTTGATGAACTGGTCACATCTGTCTGAGGTCTAACATTGTAAAAATAGAACGTAATGATTCAGCGGATTCAACACCATTTGGATCAACATATCCTACGCGATTAGTAGCTAGAGGAGATGAGTAAGATGAGCTAGACCACGTTATATTTGGTAAATTATAATCACCGAACAACATAAGTTTATCATTAGAAAAGACATCTACAATTGACGAGACGATTGATACATTAGCAACTTAAATCTCTGCCCTAGAGTCGGGCGGAATGTAGGTGGATCCAATTATCACATTATAGTTACTAAACTTTACTCCGATAAAGATATGACTAGCATAACCAAAATCATTGCAGCAACCTAGCATTTGCAGAAATTAAATGGCACTCAAGGCTGTTGGTAGCATAGCTGGACCAAGGATGGCTGGATGGCACCACTTGCAATCCACATTGCCTGTAGTCTCCCGGAAATATCCTTATGTGCGGTCTAGATTGTATTATACGTCTATGTGAATTTCTCATCAGAGAATGGCACCATTCAAAATAAGTGTATGTTGTAACCAATGGGCCAACTGATGATTGACCTATTCTGATTAACATGACACTTGTCTGTTCTTCTCCTTCCTCCGTTCTAAGCCTTTAAGTTGATCTTGAATTCTCATTTCTGCTGAATTGCAGTCATTGACCATCATATTAGGTGTTTCAAAGCACCAGTCCACTATCTTTTTCTCGGAAAAGGCGGAAAATTGAGTTTCGAGCCGAAAACTTCTGGGGGTAAATCAACCCCAAATACTTCAATGAGTATATTTTCAGCCCCCCAAAGCTCCATTTTAGGAGGTTTTTCAAAGGGGGGTGCCCCCCGTTTCGCGCATATTTCAAATACCAAGGGTATGTTTTGACTTTGGATTTAAATTCTATGGCCAAAATTAAGAACTTTTTGTTGTATGCTCTTTTTCCCTAAACCCCAAACCTCTGGTTTTTTTAAGGAGCATTTTGGAGCATTTTTTGGGCTACCTTCAATTAGACAGGCGTTTAAATTATACGATTTTCAAATTCTAGAAGTCTCCTGAGAGAAGAGGTCAATACAGCTTTTAAATTGATGTGCCACACGACCCCTGTTGATCCAAAATTATGGGGGCTACGACCTCCCGAAAATGTTGTGGTTTTGGAGAGCAGTAAGTCGAAAATTTCAAATGGCGAGGGTATGTTTTGACTTCAGATGTGAATTCTACGCGAAAAGTTACGAAGAAATGATACGGCGCACGGCCCATTTGCTCCATATCACTTTAGAACCTCATTTTCCTATAAGAAGCTGTGTATTTTTGGAGGGAAAAGGGGGCAAATAGGCCGTGTGCCATAATGTTTCTGTGTAACTTTTCGCGTAGAATCCAAATCTGAAGTCAAAATATACCCTTGCCTTTGGAAATTTTTGACTTACGGCTCTCCAAAGCCCTAACATTTTCGGGGGATCGTGGCCCTCAAGATTGCGGATCAACAGGAGTCATGTCATGTGGCACATCAATGAAAAGGTAAGTATTGACCTCTTCTCTCAGAAGACTTTTAGATTTTGAAAATCAGACAATTGTAACGCCTACAGTGACTAATTGAATATAGCCCAAAATACGCGCCATAACTCAAAAAAACGGGGGTTTAGGGAATAAGTGCAAAAAAAAAACAAGCAGTAAGCTCCAACGCATTCGTGTCGGAAAGCGGCTCTGGCGACGGTAGTTGTAGTCAAGAATGAGGGCCTAGACACATTTTGTCATTGATGTACAATCCGACAACTGTCGATTCATGTTTTGTAACTTAGCAGATTTACAAAGCCGGTGTATAAATGTGTATTGGCCCTCGATATGCAGAATGCATGGCACTATCACTTGTTGTATACTTTTAATTTTGAAGGCTCTTTGGAGGTCCGCATCCTAAAAAATCTCTTTCACATTTTTTTTTTTTTTTTAACTTGTCGTTGTGATTGGGCGCCAATTTCTTTCAATTGAGTGATCATCTTCTTTTTTTGTCAAATAACTAGTTTGTAATAATAAGTTTAATTAATTGGTAAGTAGATAATTGGTAAACGGTAAGTTGTAATAATAAAGTTTATAATAATATATTAAAAGACACATTTCAAACCTTAAGAACTGAAAGAAAATTAAAATTACCTCTCTACTCAAATTACCAAAATGGGAAATTCACTATATATTACCACAATATCTCGTCATTAAATTCTGAAAAGATTATTGATCTAACAACAGATCCATTGTATTCAAAACATGATTTAATTCCCATGAGCCTAGTGACGTAGGTTAAGGGGCCCGTTCGCCAAAACTAATCGGAACTTTATGAATAAATTGCTCCATTTAAAAATCAAAACAATATCGAATTGCGATATATTACATGGATAAGATAGGGCTATGTCCTGTCGTAAGCGGCGACATAGATTCGATGTCATTTCAATAATCGCCCCGATGGCCACAGTAGTTGTTAAACGTTTACGGTCTCCTTGGTAACCTTTGTTTGCTATCAGCTGATATCGAGTAATATGCCTAGGAAGCTCCAACCACTGCATTCTTCCAAAAAACCGCGAAAACTTTAAAATTCAAAATTTCAAATTTTGAACGTAAAGTACATTTTTTCCATCACGAGATTAAAGCACAGACAAGTTTTGAATTATTGACTGTATCACCATGATTCCAAAAATACACTACACAACATAGCATTGGCTAACAATAAAACAATATGCAATAAAATAAAGTCATGACAAGGTACATAGTCGAAAATGGCGCCGATTCCCATCAACCAACGCGCAGTCTCTCCAATGTAACATGGTCCATTGATACTCCCCAGCTGGGACCGTCCGGAATAGCAGCTCTAGTGCAAGCACCAGAGACGCTAAAAGTTCTTATCTTTGGCCATAGAATTTAAATCCAAAGTCATAACATACCTTGGGTATATGAAATACGCTAGAAACAGGGGACACCCCCCTTCTTATAACTCCCCCGAAATGGAGCTTTGGGGGGCTGAAAATACAGTTATTAAATTATTTACCCTAAATACCCATACAAAATACCCATGAAAGTTTGTGTCCCGAAGCTCAATTTTCGGCTGTTTCCGAGTAAAAGATCGTAGACGGGTGCTCTGGAACACCCGGTACAATCACCAAATCAATGGAACCTACGCGGACAACCAATAAGACTTTTTGCCTGCCAATTAAATCATTATGCTGTATGATGTTCTTCGCAATCTCCGGAGAATATATGCTGAGCCTCTAAAGTTGACATTTCTTGGTGCCAATTTTGAGAAACGTGGGGCCCAAAAATTAAGTATATTTATCATCTTTTCCGGCGTTGCTAAGTAGAAATGTTGTTGGTTGAAAAGAGCTCATTTTTCTGCACAAGTTGTTTAGGAAGGTAAGATGGACTGTTTGTCAACTTTTTTCGCACGAATGGCTCCAAAAATCCAATACAGCAGCAACGTCAGGTGTTCATGAGGAAGCGCGTGTGACTGTGCCTCAAAATTTACTTTTCAGCTTCCTTTCTCTCAAAATTGGCATAGAGTTATATTTTTAAAAGTTCATCGTTTTCAAACGTAATGATCATCATACAAAAACATAATGAAATTTAACCTGTGCTGAGTCTCTCTCTTTCCCGCACAGGGTCCTTTCTCGAAGAAAATCGGACTTGTAATATCCCTCAAAAAGCATTGAACTATGTCTCCAAGGCTTTAGGTTTGGATTAGTTTCAAGCACAAACCCTCCTCTCGTGTTGATTCTCAACTCTAGCCTGTGAGTTGAATGTGCGCATAAACACAACGAAAGTGTACAATGGGAAACATCAGGAATTGAAACCAACATTCCTCCCCTTAGTCAGAGTGACAGATGTTGCAACCTCTCACCTAATTAATTATTTTGTCTAAACAGTTTAATCTTGGACCTAATCCTTCTTTGTTTTTTTCCCTTCTGTTTCAGATTCAAAATTTGGATCTTCACACAAAGTAGAAAAAAACAAAGCAGTGAAGTATTAGTCAGGGAAATTGGATGCGGGAGATAAACCAGTTTTCACGATGTAATTACTGACATAATTCCACCAGTTGTACCTCCAGAATATATCTGTCAAGAAACGAATGATGGAGACGAAGTAGACAAATTTCTCTACACTCTCCCAAACTGTCGAATATCATGTCCATCTCGTCCCCAACTTTCAACAATATGTTTAAAGCTAGAGCAAGTGTATTTTGGATTCTGTTGCTATTCGAATGCAGTAACGCAGACCTGCAACCATTAGTGATGGCCCATGCTCTGAGCAACGAGCAGACGCAAGGGCCTTTGGCCAACTCTAAAACGCACGGTGCGCCCTCCAGTGGTGGCTCGTCGCGATGTGAGGTGATCACCATCCCCATGTGTCGAGGAATCGGCTACAACGTGACCTCCATGCCGAACGAGTTGAATCATGACACACAGGAGGAGGCCGGACTGGAAGTGCACCAATTCTGGCCTTTGGTCGAGATCAAATGCTCGCCAGACCTTCTGTTCTTCCTGTGCTCAATGTATGCTCCGATATGTATAGAAGAATACCTCCAACCGCTTCCGCCGTGCCAGAGTGTCTGTGAACGAGCCAAAGCTGGCTGCGCACCATTAATGCTCTCCTATGGCTTCAGCTGGCCAGACAAAATGGCATGCGACAAGTTTCCTCAACACAATGACCCGGAAAACCTCTGCATGGAGCAGCCGGACCACGTAGACCTGTCCTCACACGAGCTCGAGACGGCCTCAGCGTCGGCTGTGCCCAAACCCACCAAGAAACCTTCAGGTAGTAAGAAGAGCTGTCCTGCGGGCAAAACGGGAAAGCAATGTAAGGAATCCTTGCCTGGTGGCTCGTTCCAGTTTAACACAGAGTGCTCATGCAAGTGTAAACCACCATTGTTGGCGATCCAGAAAGAGTCTCAGTGGTACAACCGAAGTAGTGTCTCTGTGGCAGGTATCACTAATTGTGCCTTTCCGTGCCACGGCGTCTTCTTCAACCCAGAGGAAAGGGAGTTTGCCACCCTGTGGATCGGTCTATGGTCAGGTCTATGCTGTGTCTCAACTTTGATGACTCTAACGACGTTTCTCATCGATACGGAGCGATTCAAGTACCCCGAGCGACCTATTGTTTTTCTCTCCGCCTGTTACTTCATGGTATCAATCGGTTATTTAATCAGGGTGTTCCTCGGTCATGACAGGGTGGCCTGTGATGGGCTCATGATCCAGTACAGCGCTTCAGGTCCAATTCCTTGTACTCTAGTCTTCCTTCTGATCTACTTCTTCGGCATGGCTTCGTCCATCTGGTGGGTGGTCCTGTCCTTCACATGGTTCCTAGCCGCTGGCCTTAAGTGGGGCAACGAAGCCATCACTAGCTACTCGCAATGTTTCCACTTGGCCGCCTGGCTAATCCCAACGATTAAATCCATTGGAGTCTTGGTCATGGCTGCCGTCGATGGGGATCCTGTTGCCGGTATTTGCTACGTCGGAAACCAGAACGCCGACAATCTTCGGTTGTTCGTTCTCGGTCCACTCATGGTCTACCTTTTCCTGGGCACCTCATTCCTCCTCGGTGGCTTCGTGTCGCTTTTCCGCATCCGCAACGTAATCAAGCAGCAAGGCGGCCTCAACGGCCGGAGCAAGGCTGATAAGCTAGAGAAGCTCATGATACGGATCGGCATCTTCAGCGTGCTGTACACAGTGCCGGCCACCATCGTTTTAGCGTGCCATCTCTATGAGACAACGTTCTATCTAGATTGGATGAAGCCGCTTGTCTGTTCCTGCAACGAGCCCGCGGTGCTCAACCATCGGACTCGTTTCAGGCCTGTTTACTCAGTTCTCATGCTCAAGTACTTCATGACTTTGGCCGTCGGAATTACCTCAGGGGTATGGATCTGGTCAAGTAAGACTCTGGGCTCATGGAAGCGGCTCTGGAGGAAGATCTTTGGGAGCTCAACGAGCCCTCGTCCGGTGTTGACTAACCCTGGGGTCGGGAATCCTGGGCAGAAAAGAATGCTAGTCAAGCAGTACGGCATCATCACGACGCCGTCGCCCGGGCCGGGCGCTTGTGGCTCCCTCCTGGGCCCCCTCCCGCACATCGTGCCCAACGCTCACGGGGCCCATCACTACCCATCCCATCTAGTCGCCAACAAAACACCCCTGAGCCACGTATGACAGCAACGACCTGGTCTGACGGAACCGAAACTCTACTCAGATTATGAGTGCGTTTTAGAGGATGGCAGTCGCACCGGTCTCAGCAACTACGGACCTTTGTGAATTCCTCATTCGTAGCTCTCAGTTAGCTTAAAACTATTGAGTCATTCTCAAAGTGCGCTCCAATAATCTGCCCATTTTGAACCTTCTAACACTGCACCATCCTCTTTACGAAGCATCATTGAAGCAGCAGCGAGATTGCCTCAGTAACATAACTAATGATATCACCAATAATTATCCGTTAACGATGTTACTCAAGTTGACCTGCGTAACGTTTCCTTTATGTCAGTTATTACAGTTCAAAGTCACTCAACTTCTAGTGCTACAACCAGCTCGACATTAGCTCATAATGCAACTTAATCCCTCGATTATCTGATGTATTGTGGCAGAAGCCCAACCTGGGTACCGGAAACGCCAGGCAACTCAAATGCACTAAGTCCATAGGTAACTGCGTATGGTGTATATATGGATAAAAACGAAGGAAACCTCCCCAAAAAACGATCAAAAAAAATTATGCGTAAGCGTTCCTTATTTTCATGCCAGATAAGTGATGAGCAGATAATCGAGGTATTACTTTATCTCAAAAACGATTATGCAGTAAAGGGATTATACAGAAACCCATGACTTTTCATTGGGTTAGCGAGGGTGTCAGACTGTATTCGAGTTAACACAAGTGTCACATATTTAATTGTGTAGGGGCATTTTTATGTGTTCTCTAAGTGTTAAATGCCTTCCTGCCAGAAGAGTTCCTTACATTATCTGTGCAAAGAATATTTGGTCACAGATCCATACAAACCTGGATCTGTACAGCCTCCGTGCAGCAAATAGGCATAAATTCGTGCATGGATCCGTGTATTTTTTTTTCAATTCAATAATTAATATTTTCAGGGGAGGATAGAGGCAGCGGTTAAAAACTTTCAAAATCTTAATATTTTCCGAAAAAACTACTCCTAAGTAACTGTTAAAATTAACGAAAAAAGAAACCCCTTCGAGTATTTTTTCAATTTCTAGAACTACAGTGTTAGCTGTATCAAAAGCATGGCCAGTAAGTATTATCCTCCTGTTGGTCACTCTAACTTACTTCTCAGTGTATTTATGGCTGTTGAGTATTTTGCTAAGTATTGGCGCGAGCTGGTTACAAATAGTGTCACAGTTTTAGCCATCAACCTGGTTAAGGATGCTTGTGAGTTGGAGGGTCGGGCTTTTAGATTTCATAGGACACCGAAGAGATGACAATTTATCGTAGCTTTTCAGTTGTGAGCTACCTACAATGAAGTTAAATTTCCTAAGTTCAGATGACAAAAGGGGTTATTCAAAATCGGCGATGTTGCCCCTCTCATGTATTTTTCCTGGAGTTGGATATGTTGTTCCCTATTACAAGACACGCCTTTTTTCGGCAACGGCAAGTTCACAAAAAGATTTAGTGCGCGCTACGTTGAGAACGTGACAATTCCGTACCTAAAGGGCATTAGAATTGAGCAATAAAGTCGCGGTTGGGATGAAAATTCTTTAAGAATTCCGCACTTTATAGATGTGTCCATGTTTTTAATGGCGTATTCATTTTAACATGCATTGTTGCCAATTTTTCCATTTGAAAATTAATCAATTTTTTCAATTTCGCAAATATATCTCGAAAGGGCTCTGATTTGATTTGAGTAACAAGTTTTATAATCGATAATTCGTTTGATTCCACATCCATTGATTTATTATCCTTCGTGTGGAAATTTTTGTTTGCGAGGTATGGTCATTCTTGTAAAGGGCTTTTGGGAGGAACGACGCTCGTTGAGTCCAGGCAGATAGGAATTTTAGCCTTCAAAAACACCGGGTGACATTAATTCCAAGATTTCCTGTATAATGCTTGATGCTGAACTAGAATTTCAACTATTATTCACAAAATGTGTGCATGAAAGTTGCCAAATTTGGCGAAAATTTCTTAAAATCAGCCTTTCTTTGCACATTGTGGTGATCTGACGACCAAATCGGTAGTTTTCAGAGTTAAAGCTCGTTAAATTTTCCACAATAAGGATTCAATGCTTTTTACTCATCGCAAAATTTTGCGCGGACAAGCAGCAAACTGAAGAAAGCGCCGATTTCGGTGCTGATTTTAAGCAATTTTCGCCAAATTTGGCAACTTTCATGCACACATTTTGTGAATAATAGTTGAAATTCTAATTCAGCTTCAAGCATTATACAGGAAATCTTAGAATTAATGTCACCCGGTATTTTTGAAGACTAAAATTCCTATCTGCCTGGACTCAATGAGCGTCGTTCCTCCCAAAAGCCCTTTACAAGAATGACCATACCTCGCAAACAAAAATTTCCACACGAAGGATAATATATCAATGGATGTGGAATCAAACGAATTATCGATTAAATAAGCACCGAAATCGGCGCTTTCTTCAGTTTGCTGCTTGTCCGCGCAAAATTTTGCGATGAGTAAAAAGCATTGAATCCTTATTGTAGAAAATTTAACGAGCTTTAACTTTGAAAACTACCGATTTGGTCGTCAGATCACCACAATGCGCAAAGAAAGGCTGATTTTAAGCAATTTTCGCCAAATTTGGCAACTTTCATGCACACATTTTGTGAGTAATAGTTGAAATTCTAGTTCAGCATCAAGCATTATACAGGAAATCTTGGAATTAATGTCACCCGGTGTTTTTGAAGGCTAAAATTCCTATCTGCCTGGACTCAACGAGCGTCGTTCCTCCCAAAAGCCCTTTACAAGAATGACCATACCTCGCAAACAAAAATTTCCACACGAAAGATAATATATCAATGGATGTGGAATCAAACGAATTATCGATTATACAACTTGTTACTCAAATCAAATCAGAGCCCTTTCGAGATATATTTGCGAAATTGAAAAAATTGATTAATTTTCAAATGGAAAAATTGGTAACAATGCATGTTAAAATAAATACGCCATTAAAAACATGGACACATCTATAAAGTGCGGAATTCTTAAAGAATTTTCATCCCAACCGCGACTTTATTGCTCAATTCTAATGCCCTTTAGGTACGGAATTGTCACGTTCTCAACGTAGCGCGCACTAAATCTTTTTGTGAACTTGCCGTTGCCGAAAAAAGGCGTGTCTTGTAATAGGGAACAACATATCCAACTCCAGGAAAAATACATGAAGCGCAGTGCAGGGTAGGTTTATTATTATTGACATCTGGGCTGTAGATTGAATGTGCACGCTTGGGCCAGCATTGGACTTGTTCAAGGTTTTTTTAGCCTCATCAAAAATAATTGTATCAGTTGAGTTACTTGGAGAGATAGCAATTCTGTACAAGTCTTCAATGAGGTCATCAACGGTGGCCCTATGATGCCAATGATGAAATGCACCAACGGGTCAGCTCTCTTAGGCAAAAGAGTGGACCTCTAAGAGGAGGCCTGACAAGCAGAAATAGCAGAATGGATTCCGTAAACAACGTTTGGTTGATTTCATAAAATTAGCAAGGAAAGGAGAAAATTGAAATTTCCAACGAGACTCTCAAAATATTCATCGTTGTTTTTTTATCTTTTCAAACATCAATGAAGAATTTTCAAATAACTCAAATACAACGTAGCACTGAATCAGAGAATTTTTTGCATTAATGCTCTCAGCACAAAAAAATTGTCCATGAAGGGTTTCTTTTTCTGAAAATTGAAGCAGTTTCTTTACAAGTGTTTGAAAATTACTATTTTAACACTCACTGTTATTTTGGTAGAACTGTTATCGGTCTATGCCCCAAGCATATCACTATGGAAACCATGTTGGAGCATAACTTTTCTGTGATGCATTGTATGGAAGTGTGCAGCCCTATCCATGGAATCCCAAGAAAATCAAAATCCAAGCCAATTTACCATTCTTGATTTTTCTGACAGGAAATCCAGAACCATGGGCATGTTCCCTTCTACGAACTTTCTGAACCATCTATTTACGTAGAACCCATGGATTTTCACAGATACTCAAACAAAGGATATCCATGAAATTTCATGGATTTCCATGCTTTCCTCTGTCCAGTTGAAAGCATTACTTTCAGCATGGTTGCCTTCTCCAGCATTTGTGATTAATTTTTGAACTATCAGTGATTGTAACATAGAGCCTCATTTGAAGACTGTTCGCCACCCATTTGTCCGTCCTGTAATAATTCCAATTCTTAATTTCACTATCATCCATTAAAAATGAAGACACCCCCCCCCCCCCCAGTATGTGCAATAAATTTAACAAGATTTGTCTACATTTGTTGAAATTTTATAAGAGTTCTTGGTCAATGTTATTTATTCAATGTTTCGCGCAGGTTCTGACCCAGCATCGTGGAATTTTATAGGAGGGGATGAGGTTTGTCAGGACTGCTTCATACCGAATTTAGCTATGCCTCTGCCCCTAACATTTTATTTTCAACATTTCGAACCTATGCATTGAAGAATAAACTGGGAAGTTTTTATTGAACATTTTGAGATTGGCTTGATAATTTTTTTCTCAACCTACATCTATTGTACTTTATAAGAATAACATTCAATATCACCATCAGCCGTTTTGTTTCTCATTGTTGGTTTGCGTGTCAGTGTTATCTTGGTGTTGTCAGACCAGTGTAAAGTTTATAGTCTTGTTTACCTTCTCAATTTAGTCACTAGATCTCAATGTAAGTTTCATTCTTGTAATTTATTTCTGTATTTTTCATTACCTGATGTAAATAGCCCTGATGTGAGATGTGATTTATTTTAGTTAACCCGAGAGCAGGACAAGTATAGGGCCACAAGAAAGTCATGGAAATTTACCTTCCTTGAAACAAAATAATGTTCTTATGCTCATGGCGCGAGCCTCAAATCTAAGACGTTTAGAACATGTTCAGGATCAACATTTGATTGGTTGCAATATTTTGTACATAGGTATACGTACCAATTTTTTTTTTTTTCAAAATCAAGCAATGAATATTGAAGAGCCTCCTCTGCATAAAGTAATTTAGGGAGCAAATTGTAAAGAATAGATAACATATAGGATACTCTTAGACTTTATGGATGAACGTTTGCTCTGTGTCGAAGGGCTAAACGAAAAATGTATCCTTACAGGTATCCCTGAATCTACATGAGATATATCATAACTTTTTATTATTGAATTAGTTTACTACTGTTATCAGTTTACACCATGCGAAATTTCATTCAAATCAGTAATCTTTGGTGAGATATTTTTGTCTGATCTAGAACCAGGTTTTGATGCTAAGTGGCTAAAGCATTGCGAAGTGATCTGGTACCTATTTAACTGGAGAAAACATTTACTCTCTCAGTGTTATTCATTCCTCTCACGTTAAAACTTTATTGCTCCCAGAGTAGCAACTGATTCTAGCCAAGCAAGTGATATGTTAAGTAAAACTTCCACTCATCGATTGCCACCCTAAGAGTGTTGATTTTCCAACACCACTCAAATAAGTTGCTCACCATGTATCATATAAAATACATAATGAAACGATTAATTCATTCAAAAAGTAATGTATGATCTTGAAAATCCGTATTACCTCTTTCATTTCTTTATTCGTTTTGGCAAAAATCTCTTATCTTCCTTAAAATTTTAATAGGCAGGCAGGGTGTCTAGTTACTGAGACTTTCCGGAAAACCCAGGACGAAACAGGAATAAGGGGGATTGGGAAAGACATGGATTTGAGGCTTTCAGTGGGTATTGGGTTTTTGAAATTTATAACCTTATGTATACGTGTGGTTGTGGCAAGCCACCAGGCGCGCCTGTGGGTAGGAAAGCATTGGTGTTGTAGGAGGGGGAGGGAGGTTTGCACCGTATAATTGTCAAGACTACTGAATACAGAGGAAATGAAACCCCACCTGTCCTCTTTTTTGTATCGTACCCATCTTTAAATTTCTGAGGTTATCTCAATCCCGTGTTCCTTCGTCATTTACCGCTCAAAATTCAGGTACTTTGTTATAAAACTAAAAATGTAATCTCTGTGATAGCACATAGGGTATCTTAATGGCTTTAGTGGTTCTTGAGATAAAGGAGGAGATACACTCCCCCCAATGTGCTCTTAAAATCCTGACAAAATCGTTAAAAATCTAGGAAATCACCGTGCCTTTGGATGTGGGATAGAACTAGAACAACACCCTGACAGATCTAGCCCTTGATTAAATTTTTACATTTCCATTCGTTATAATTTTTTTTCTCTGTATTTTACCAAATCATAAAAGGCTACCAATTGACAAACTTGAGTTAAAATAAGCATGTTACAAGCCGAGTTCCATTGTTATCTTTATTTAAAGTTTTCTGTGGTTATAAATACACAATATTCTTGTATATTCAACATTTTTGTGAATTCTTTAGGATTAATCAATATCAAAAATTCTTTATTTTATTTGTGATTCAGTAAAAATGTACAATTCAAAATATACGTACTTCCTCATGATTAAATTTTGAATTCAATTGGTATTCAACAATTGTATAGCGATTGCACCATCACCTTAAATTATTACCATTAATATTCTAAGAAAGTAGCTTGATGTTCTTATGTACTTACAAGGGGAGGCTACCGATTGTCCACCTCAGATCGGGTTCAAATTTGGCAGAGAGGTAGAATAGGTTAATATAAGAACCCGTATTTTATTTTAGGTGCCAATGCCCAGCCGTTTTTGAGTTATGAATTTTTGAAGTTGCCGTTTTTTCGTGTCAGCGACGCGCTGAAGTTGAGCCTACTGTGCGCGCATCTTTTAATGCGATCCGAGTGTCCCGACGTTCAAGTGAGACAGTTGCCCAAACGGTAGCGCGCTCGCCTACGGTGCAGCAGGTTCAGGGTTCGATACTACTTCTGTTCATTTTTTGAAATTGATTATTTTGTTTTTTAATCGCTTCATCACAGCAAATTGTAAGTCACCTTGTAGACGTTGTGGTGCTGATTATATTTTTTTCCTTTTTTGTTACACACTCATTAAAAAAATAAAAAATACATAAAATTTAATCAGAATCATAACGTCTACAAGGTGACTTACAATTTGTTGTGATAAAGCGATTAAAAAACAAAATAATCAATGGCAAAATTGTAGTTAACGGAAGTAGTATCGAACCCCGAACCTGCAGCACCGTAGGCGAGCGCGCTACCGTTTGGGCAACTGTCTCACTTGAAACGCCGGGACACTCGGATCGCATTAAAAGATGCGCGCACAGTAGGCTCAACTTGAGCGCGTCGCTGACACGAAAAAACGGCAACTTCAAAAATTCATAACTCAAAAACGGCTGGGCATTGGCACCTAAAAAAAAATACGGTTTCTTATATTAACCTATTCTACCTCTCTGCCAAATTTGAACCCGATCTGAGGTGGACAATCGGTAGCCTCCCCTTGTTAGAGTTTTGAAGAATGAACTATCTCAGGATACAAAGGTATGCACCAAACGCTATGTAGAATACTGTTGATATATTGAAAACTTCCAAAATCAACTTTCAAGTCAGAAAATTAGTCAATGACAAACTGAAGTTTACAGTCTCTAGTGTACGTCAATTCAGATTTTCTACATGGGAAAAGTCATATTTTACTCGAGTCGAAATGCGCCTCTGACAAATTTCAGTATGTTCCACAACTGCAAAGTTTTATGCAAGCTGAATTTTTTTGACTACTCTAGAAGACCGACATAATAGGAGAGGAACGGACCCATGCGTGTCGAGACGAACTCCAGTTATACGCCCCTTGTACGAGTTTGTTTTCAATGGTCAATTGTTATGCAATTGGAAACTACTTTTTCTGCCTCATTTTAGAAACAACATGTGTATCATTCGTTACCCTAGGCAGGTAGGTAGGTGCTTTTCTAGATGAGTCAGATATGGTAGTTCCTTATCATACAGGGTGTTTCAGACCACCCGTACCAGGCTTTTTCTCAGTTGGTTTAGGTCGTAGGAAGTCGGAGACCGCAGGGTTGAATAGGGAGTGGACCCCAAGGAATCCGAATTTCGTGGTCCCGAAACCTCTCCACCCCCCTTGGGGGTAAAGGGGGGGTCACGATGCTAAAAGTCACGGTTCCCGACCGAATTGCGGATGGATCGCATCTGAATTGAAAAGCACGGAAAATTTCACGTGAAATTGACGCCTAAAAATCCAAAATCGGACCATCCAAGGCCCAAAAATGACCCCCTAAGGAGGGGGCCAGTACCCCCCTCCATAATTTCTCTTTGGTCTCAAAATTGACATAGATTCTCCAGAAAAAGACAGTTTCCCAGGTAATCGACCTCGAGAAATCCAAATTTCATGGTCCCGAAGCTCCTCTAGCCCCCCTTGGGGAGTAAACGGGGGGGGGGGCAATTTTAAAAGACGGGGCTCCTTTCCGAATCGCTAATTGATTGCATCCAAATTGAAGAGCAGAACACATTTACATCTTAAGTGACTCCTAAGAGTTCTAATAGACCCTCTGAACGGCAGAAAGTAACTCCCTGAGAAGGGAGGCTTCGCCCCCGCCAAAAATTTCTCAAGATTCCTCTTTGGTTGCAAAATTGACTTCGATTCTCCAGAAAAAGATGGTTTCCCAGGTAATCGACCCCAAGGAGCTCGGGGAACATGAAATTTAGAGTCTTCGGGGTCGATTATATAGGGAATCGTCTTTTTCTGGAGAATCGACGTCAATTTTGAGACCAAAGAGAAATTATGGAGGGGGTACTGTCCCCCTCCTTAGGGGGTCATTTTTGGGCCTTGGATGATCCGATTTTGGATTTTATGGGGTCAATTCTACGTGAAATTTTCCGTGCTTTTCAATTCTGATGCGATTAATCCGCAATTCGGTCGGGAACCGTGACTTTTAGCATCGTGACCCCCCTTTACCCCCAAGGGGGGTGGGGGGGTTTCGGGACCGCGAAATTCGGATTCCTTGGGGTCCATTCCCTATTCAACCCCGCGGTCTCCGACTTCGTACGACCTCTACCAACCGAGAAAAAGGCCTGGTACGGGTGGTCTAAAACACCCTGTGCAATGGCGTTCATTTGACCTCACTGGATTTTTATTTGAAGGAGGGGTATTGATGAGGGCCTTTTTTGCGCCCCCCTAGAATCTGGAAATTTATGCGGATTTTCCAAGTTGACTCAATGTAGTTAACGGAAATAATCATGATTTGATCGGTACGCCACTGGATACGTGTTAAACGGTTGCCTAAACATACGTCTGCAGGCGCGTTTTAGTGAAAAATGTGTGTTTTTCTTTCACTCCGAGGCTCTTTTGACACCGAGCACATCGGCTAACTAAAACGAGCTTTTGATGCGTTATCAAGGAGGCTATAGGACACATTTTAACCCTGGTTTGGCTTCAGTAAGATGATGTGCTCATAGTGAAAATTTTTTTTCTCCAAAAGTCGACTTATGAGGGACATCTGCAAAAATCTTAGGGAAAGACGTCTCTCCGACTGTATGTACGCTACGTATATTATCAAGCCATATTAGACTCTTACTGGGAGATTTTCTTCAATTGGGGCCAAAACAAACTCTGACAACATGTTTCCCTAGATTTTTGCGGTCTCTTAAAAGTCGACTTTTGAAAAAGTTATTTTTTAACTATGAACACATCATGTAACTAAAACCAAACCAGGGTTAAACTGAGTCCTAAGTCCTCCTTGATGACATATCAAAAGCTCGTTTTGGTTAGATGATGTGCTCGGTGTCAAAAAAGCCTCGGAGTGAAAGAATAACATGCATTTTTCGCTAAAATGCGCCTGCGCACGTATGTTCAGGCAACCGGGTAATACGTATCCAGTGAGCTATGGACCAAATCATGATTATTTCCGAAAACTACATTGAGTCAACTTGGAAAACCCGCATGGATTTCCAGATTCTAGGGGAGGCCAAAAAGGCCCTTATTGATACCCCTTCTTTTTTGCCAGTAGGGAGTTTCGATTGACTGGTAGGAAGGTAAACAAACAACATTAATTCCTCACTTATGAGCTAATTTTGGAAGTTTCGTATCTTTTCAACAAGTTCTATGAGGAATTGTTCAGTAAAGAATAACCTTATTTTGCCTTAATCTCTGCCATGTCTTATGATCCATTGCAAAGGGGTGCATAACTTTNGGGGGGGGGGGGGGGGGAGCCACCAGACAAGGGCTGGACTAGAAATAAACCTCACCTGGTTTCTCATTAAAATCTTGCAGAGAGAACAATTTGCACGATGGAAAGTCAAGAAATCAACTCCTGACCGAGATATTAACAATTATTTGGAATGCAGATTAAACAGAGACTCAGTTATGTGAATGACACCATCTGCATTTTCGCCATATCAATTGATTGTGAACACTTGTATATTGCTTAGGAATTGATATGCAGACTTCCTGTTGTGTGATTTGAATTCCTCTTAATTTTAAAGAGAAGACATGCTGTGTAACGCTTTAATTTATACCTTGTCTGGTGACCCATTCAAAACGTCCTAAGGGTCATCAGATGTTGCTACAGTAATGAAATTATTTGTCCTGTTCACCAAAAAAAAATTTTTTTTGAGGGGGAGGGGGAAGAAGAGAACATTTGATCTGAAATATTAAGATGAAAGTCTTTAAAAATGATAACAGTATTGTGGAAACACCTCTGAGTAAATGAAATCTCAAAGAGACAACATTGGACAAGCTCTGATTATTATAGCACTCTTGTAATGAGATGCTCATAGAGACAATGGTGCGATCTAGGATTAATTATGTGCCTAAAATGTTGCCACTGCATAGGTACATGAAAATAAAATTCAAGGTGCAGAAGTGATAAATACCTGCAAGTAGAAAGGAAAAAATGTTGTGCATTAAAATTTTTAGCACCCGCACAGGTGTAAGAAAATACCAGAGGGCTAAGACAATTTTGAAGATTACCTTGATTTGCATACAAATCTACAGCACTGGTGTACTATCGGATTGATCAGAACAATGACCTTTAGAAATAAAAAATTTTTGCAAGAGAGGGAGATACTGTCTCATAACATGCCATTGACCGAGTAGCATTTTAGGTTTCCTTACTGAACTAATCAATTGTTCCAGTATGAATGAAAGCCTGATCAGATGCTTGGAAGACCAAAAATAGAGAGAAGATGAGGGAACATGAACAAAGAGAGGGGAGGGTCCTATATTTGTCTTTGTATTGCAATTCTCATCAAAATTCATTGCTCATTATTTTTTTCTTTCTTTCTTTTTTTATGTCCAGTTTTCAGGCAAATGGGTAAACTATGTTTCATAAATGGCTAAGAGGAACTTCTTGAGTTCCAAATTAAAAGGGAATGTACTTATTCTTCTGGCAAAAGTCCATTAAAATTAAAGTATAAATTCTTATCTTCTTCTTAATACTGTATGATACAGACTCTTAACAAGCCTTTAATGAGAATGTCACCAGTCAGTGTGTAAATGGGGCTATAAATAAAAGAAAAATGAATACAGCGTTTTTGCCTTCCAAGTGAGGGCTTTGACCTTCCTCAT